ACTGAAAATTTCGAAAAGACAATGCTCACACGCACACGTGTACGTGTATGGCGTCCATGCATTGCATAATAATCGTTCTAGGACTTTCATATTCCATTTGGAAATTGGGGATTGGTCTCCTTTCCCCAGTGCGCATTTATTCCACTATTTGCCAGAACAGCTACGACATTTCTCATACGAGGGTTTCATCTTATATATACTTATGCATATCTGAATGGGATAACAGATTTATATAATGTTAGTATATCTATAACATTATTCCGGACTATTCTCACCTTTTGCAATGCCATTTCCCACAGTTGAATAAACGATCTGTGCCAAGTTGGAAATCCAGGTCCACTGTGGGCGAAATCTGGGCTGGCGCCAGAATGCTTCACAATATTATCCCAAACAGAGTAATAGTGAAACCATGTAAAAAAGTCATAAACAGATATTTCGGTGAACATTGGTTGTTGGCCATCGTCCATGTTTCTGTACAACGTTGTTGGAATCATGTAGTCACTGATTGTGTTCTTTGCCTTGATGAGGTAAAGTTTAAACTGTTCTACTTCTTCCACCGTCATGTTCAAGATGTTACGTCTGATTCTGGTTGTCTGGTTTGTGCAGTTTTTTCCACTCCAGCCGAACTTACAGTCACTACAGTCCGGTCCATCGAAATTACCTAAATTTTAATAACAATTATTCACATGTTCAAAAGGTTGCTGTAATTATCTAAACTATTGTTTCACGCGTGGTCATATCACATACTGTGAAATAATTAAAACACAATGTCTAGTAAAACACATAATCGAAAATGTACTAATATTTTCTTTCTCGTGTAACTAATTTGAGTCAATTCGAAACGACCAACTATTGAACCAACAACACAAACAACCAAGTGAATTTCGCGTACAGGTGCACCACGTTTATGCATAACTATTTTGAGCACAAGACAGTATCTTTTAGAAAGACAATGATATTATTACAATATATCTTACACTTTTAGCAGAATGGCTGCTGAAATGTAAGTACAGTATATATTTCATATAATCTAGCAATATTTTGAAATATTAACAATTTTTGGAATTCCAAAATTTCAGTTTATTCGATCACACAAAGACGGGAGATTCGCCCCTCAACCGTATCTCCCAAACCTACCCCATGGGGGGTTTAAATATATTTAAAATTTACCTCACAATATTTCACATACGAAAATGCTTGGAGTGAAATTCTAAATTTCCAGGCTAACATTGTGAGCGATATTTAATATTTTGCTCATCCATACTGTTGTTTTAGAGAACTAGAACCAATTCAGAGAATAGAAATTTATAACTCAGGCATGTTCCATTAAACGGACTAAACTGTAAAACGTAAAAAACGGCATTGTTTAATTTATCGACAAGATCCAAATTCACTTATGCGGCCGGGTTGGAATTTTGAGAGTAAGCTGCAACGCGTCACTGGCCGTATTTGTATATGAAATTATTCTAATATACAAAAAATAGCTTGTACATATTTGTATTACGCGCCAACTGGAAGATTTCGGTACATGTAAATGATAAAACAACCCAGTAAATTCAGAAAATGAATTAATAGAATTATAATAGAATTATGCCAAGTGACCTGAAAACTAATGCGTTATGACGCATGTTGAATTACGTGCAATATTTCCCGCTGCCGGTTATACGAATTTAAAGTTAAATTTAGTTATATGTTTTTTCCACAACCAATAGTACAGTTTATTTCACGACCATAGAAATAACAATTGCGTGCAGTAAACAGTATTCTAACATCTGAAAGTAAAATGTTATAGCTTCAACACATTGTTCATTCAAGTAGGTAATTCTGAACAGACATAATACCGTGTAAACATATAATGTAAAATTTGTTCTTACCGAGACATTGACAACTTCGATTAAAAAATGTAGTTGGCCACTGAAAACGTTCAAAATCACCAGTAAAACCATCCGTTGAATCGACAATATTGACAACTATGTCATTGCAATATCCACGTTCAGGTCCACCACATTTATCCACATATCCCTCTGGTACAGGACAGCATTCTTTTGACGCAAATATTTCTCCAGAGAGACATACTTTTGGAAAGATTGCCATATTTGTGTTAATCAAAACTATTAACGTCAATACTGTTAACATCATGGTGATATACAACAACTACTCGGGGAAAAGAAAAACGTCACACGCCCACTTTTTTTGAGATATTTTTTTAATTATACTGGTTGGATTCGAATTCAGCATTTTAAATTTAAAATGTGAGCAGTTACACTTAAAATATGGGCATTTAAATTCCAAATACAAAAAACGAATGTTAAACTATGAGCATTTATATATGAAATTTGAGCATTTAAATTTTAAATATGAGCAGTTAAATTAAAAATAGGAGAAGTTAAATTTAAAATATGATCATTTAAATTCAAACTATAAATTAACAGATGTTAAAAGACGAACATATATATTAAAAATTTTAGCATTTATATGTACAATATGAGCAGTTAAATTTAAAATCTGAAAAAAGAACGTTACAATTTATCTTAGCATAGCAGGTTCGAACATAACAGATATGAACATAACGCTCTTAACATAATATGCAAATCCTCATGAATACGCCTCAGTCTGCCGAATGCTGGCCGATTGTATGGCGTGCAATATGCCACCGAATCGTGAATTAAGGCCTGTCATTGGACCATTTATTGTTTAATGGCGGCTGTAAATGATTTGCTAGATTTGGGTATGCAGTATACGATCGAGCGACACTCGTGGGCGAAGTTTCTTCACCGTTCAGTGTTGAGTGAAATTAACCCCCCCCCCCCGCTCCCGGTCCAGCAACGTCCAGCATTATGATACCTATGTATGTAAATTTGCCAAAATCCGGGGTGTGAGAGTGAAGCAGCGAGTTCGCAGGCAGCTCCATATTTTGAATGCGAGTTCGCAGGCAGCTATATGTTGGCGATTGCGAGTTCGCAGGCAGCACAGAAGTGACGATTGCACAACGATCTTCTGATTTGTCGATACAAATTCCGGTCAACTAAATATTTTTTTTTGTATTTCAAGCTCTTAGTAACTCAATCAGTAATATTCACTCATAAGTCGTACATTACACGGACAGTATATTATATTTATTAAACAATAAAGTATACATTACAAGCAGTGAAACGAGGTTTAGGCCCATGATTTGAGATGTACATACGTGTTGAAATTGGCACAGAACGAGCGGTCAGTGTGAGTAAGCAATAGCGCGAAATGGTGGTAGACTTAGTTGTGAAATAGTACTAGATCTCGTGAGAAAATATACACGATTCGACAAGTGTCGTCATCGTAGTGTCATCGTCAACGACGTAATATCGTATAATTGTACTGTTTTTATGTAGTATTTTTATTGTTCCTTGTCGAAATTTGTAAATAAGAACGATAAAACAATGCCTTGTTATTTCGAAAACGCGATCGGTAATGTAAATGGTAAAATGCTACTCGATTCAGTGCTCAATTACCAATAAGGGAAAATATCAGATGCACAAAACGAAGGCTGTGATATTATTTTTAGATAGGCGCCGATAGTGGTAATGCAAATTATTGCAAAATGTATCAATAGCGAGCAGTGAAAGGTAGCTGTTGCGAGTGTTGAAATCTATATATTTGGGGGGTAAATGTATTAGCTGAGAACGGCGTCTTCCAGGACTG